GGAAATGGGAGAAGCTGCCGGGCAGGAACACCTTCTGCTGCGATGGCCGCATCATGATGGCCCGGCAGAAGGGCATCTTCTATCTGACGCTGTTCCTCATCCTCGGCACCTGCGCCCTCTTCTTCGCCTTCGAGTGAGTTCCGGGGATCCCGCGGGACGGGCACGGGACTGGGCACGGGGTGGAGAGGGAAGGGAGCCTGGCATGGAGCAGCCTGGCAGGGAGGAGCCCGGCACAGTGTGGCTCTCTCTCTCCAGACATGCCTTCTTACCCTTGAGCCCGGAGGTTTTGGAAAGGTTGGGCCCAACCAGACCTTGCCCCTGGCTCTGCCCAGGTTGTGACACTGGCCCTTACCAGGTCACCTTTCCCTGTGTGCAGACCCTTCAGGGTGATGCTGACACTCTGTCCCCGTGGGTCACCCTCCCCTGTGTCTGGGACTTGGCAGTCTCTCATCTTGGCATGCTTCCCACCCTGGGATAATTGGGGTGCAAGGACACTGCTGCTGCAGCCCCAGGGCTCACCCTGTGTCTCTGCCCGTATGGGGATGTGCAGCCCCTGGGTCAGCCCCACTGGGGAGGTGACCTGGCTGGAGAATGACAGAAAGAGTAAGATTGGTGGCTCCAGGGCTCAGGCAAGTCCAACCTGCCTGTGCTGCCCCCAGCCAGAGACCCCTCAGCTGGAGCCACGGTGTTTGGGAAGGGCCTGGCCAGCCTTTAGATAAGCTCAGCTGCATTAAGACCTGCAGCCAAAACCTTGGATCCTGCCAAAAGAGAGGGACCTGCCCCCTCCTCTCAGCTCTCCCTGGGAGCTGGGCTGGCCTTAGACTAATCCTACAATCAAAAAAACAAACAAAAAGGAAAAGACTGGTTTGCCCGAGCTCAGACACTGTGGGAGGGGGCAGGACACCCCTGTTGCCTGGTTTGAGGATGAGCTTGGATTAGCTAAACAACTGCAAAACTTTGTTTTGCATCGGCATGTTTGTGTTGTGGGGCAGGCAAAGGGCTGAGATGGTGTTGAGCAACACAGCAGCTCGTTAAGCCATGAAAAGCAGGCGGAAGGAGCTGCTTGCTGGCTAAGCCCTGGCTATTCCTGCAGATCCATAAAGCCCTTGGCCCAGATGCTGGCTTCCTCGGCATCTTCCCCAGGCCAGGGAACTTGTCTCCACATCCCCTGGCTCCAGCGTGGCTCTTCCTAGCTTCTAGCTCAAATTATCCCTGGTTCTGTCTAAATTCAGAGGTACCAAGTGACACCAGTCTTGGTTTGTTGTTTGGAATTTTTTCCCATCTGAAAAATGGGACTGAGCCTTCCTACCTTGCAGACAGAAGTAATAGGTGTTGCTGCTCCAGAAACACTGATTGCTGCTCCAAAAACACTTATTTGAGGGATAATTGCTCTGGCTCCCTGTGGATCCTGTCCATAGCAGGAGAGTGAACCACATCCCACTCTGCTGTGGTTTCCCTTGCCAGCTTCTGACGTGGTTGCACTGGGCAGAGTGAGCCGTGGCTGTTTTCCAGCCCTAGGCCATGTTGGCAACGCAATGGTTAGTCAGCAATGTGACTGGAAATTCCTCGAGAAGCCCCTTTCCATGGTCTGGGAGGCAGAGGCCTGTGGAGGGGTCGATTGCACTGAGACATCCAGGACGTGCCTGGAGCTGGAGGGAGGGCTCTGCGAGAGCAGTGCTGCTGGGAGCAGAATCACCTCTGAATTTTAGTGGAATCATCTGAGGTGTGCTGGGAAAAGTTTGGAAAACCCCCAAATACCCATTTGATTCCCTCAGTGCCAAACACGTCAGTGTCTTCTCTTTGACAGAGATGAGAGTGTTTTGAACTTGTCTAGGGATTTTTGAATTTGGGATGGGGATGAAATGTTGCCTTCCCAATGGGAAAACACTCCCCAAGGTCTCTGTTTCACTGACCAGGCTGAGATGAGCAGCTTGACAACTCGGGAATCCTGCACACTGTCTGTGCTCTTGGAGAAGGGTCTTAGCCTATCTGTTGTCCATTTGTCTGAGCTTTTGGCATATTTGCATGGAAATTCCTGGTTTCTTCCTTAAAGTTCGTGCTTCAGAGGAGCAAGCCGGGTGTTCGGGTCTGGTTCGGAGCGCGGCAGGCGGCGGTGGGCGGAGGAGCCCTTACCCTCGCTGCCCGCTCACTGCAGGGCTGCCCGTGCCGTGATGCCTGTTCCATTCAGCTGAATCACTTGCGCAGTCACACCTTGTGTGAACGCGGCTCTGAGGTGCCTGGAGCCAGGATCCGTCTGGCTGCTCGCCCTGTGCCGGGCCGGGCTTGATCCCTGCGCTCTGGGCTGCGCTGGCTCCGGTTACAGCCGAGGCCGGTGGGTTCTGGCACCCACGTCAGGGGATAAGCCGCCACCGTTCCTCGCTGGCAGGGTCTGCCCAGCCCTGCTCCTCGGCTTGCGGCTGTGTTTTCCTCTGAGTATCTCCGGTGCCGGCGGCTGCTCCGCGGTGTCTGCAGGCGAGTGTGCTGAGCCACCTCAGCCCTGTGGGTGGGAATGTCTGTGTTTTGATCCCCCAGACCGCAGTGCTGTGCTCTGGGACCGGGTAAGTCTCTCCATCCGGGAGCGAACGGGACCCTGAAGCTGGCAGAGCTCAGCGCTGTACCTGGGATCCGGCTCCTCCCTCCGAGATAAGGCAGAGGGACGGAGCTGTGCTGGCTCCCGGGAAGGGCTCTGCAGTGACCGGAGTTCTCTGCCCAAGGGCACCTCGCCGCCACGTCGGCAGGGAGCAGCTCCCACTGCTCAGGGCTGGCTCTCACAGAGTCTGAGACCTGTGTTTAACTGGGTCTGCTCCGTAACGTGTCCTATGAAATTCTGCTTCACATCCTCTTGGCATTATTTCAGACTCCTAATGGTACGTCAGCCCTGCGGTAGGGCACTTAGCTGCTAACTTTGCCTGTGGTGTTCGAGCATGGGGAGAAGCCCAGGTAAAGCACTTGTGAAATCCCTTTGGGAAAGAGGGTGATGGGATGCAGCATCCTCACTCAGGCTGGGAGTTCCCTTTGCAGTTTGCCAGCCTGTCTCATGCTCTCCTGAAGTGAGTTCCCCTTCAGCTCCCTGTTCATCTGAAGGGAATGGGATTTCTTCTGTCTCCAGCTTTTCAGCACAGAACTTGATGTCTGTACATGTCAGAGGAACAATGATGCCAGCTCCATGTGGGAAGGGGCTGCTGTTGGGTTTTTCAATGCCCAGTCATGTTTGTCACTTTGTTTTCCTACTTTCTTAGCTATGTTGAGATTAAAATATCTTTGTTTTCTGATGAGTTGAAAACACCTGCACTGCCCCTCATGTGACTTTATTGTTCTGTTCTGATTTCCAAACCCCAGAGACCTAAGACTGACAGAGGTGCCTCTATGCTGCTGTTACCTCTGGTTAGGTCTGTGCCAAAAGTTGTCAAAAACTTACACATGAGTTGATCAGTGCTTTTTAATCGCTGTAACTTCTCTCGATAGAGGTGAACTTGGTGTCCTGAGTTCAGCTCATTTTGCTCCTGTTTCTGCATCAAGTGGCTGCTCCCAGGGTTTGAATTGACCTTTTTCTCATAATGTGGGTTCCTTCTCAGGAGATGACTTCACCCTCCCTGCAGCCTGCATGTCCTCTGTGGCACCCCCATTCCCATGTGGATCTCAGGGTGATCTGCCTATGTGGAGATTTGATTTTTGTCCATGAAAAGAGCAATAACATTGGTGTAATGTATCTGTCTCCTGCTTCAGTCGCTGGCTGCATTGGTGGGGTCAGAAGCACGTGGTGTGTGCTGGCAGTTAATGTGGGTCTGTGTCAAGGGTTTCTGTGTCACTGCTGGCAGACAGGGAGAAGTTCCATGGAGAGCTCCAGCTCTGCCTAGGTGCTGCTGGGAAGGGCCCAGACACACATCATGGTGGTGCGGTGCTTACCCAGGTTTTGGAGCATACACTTCCGCGCTTACTGTGAGCGCAGCAGGTCCTGGACACTGTCCCAGGGCTGGGAGGTACAGATGGCTGAAGTGCTCTGATGAGGGTCAGGCATTTGGGAAAGATAGCGCTTTGCTGATGCTCAGGACAGGCACATGGTGTAGTTGTGCTGTAGTTTCGGGAAGTTAAACCAGTGATTTTCAGGTGAAAAGTGAGCGATACCGTGGACCTTGTGCCAACCCCCAGCAGGGCCCGCCCAGGAGATGTGCTGCCTGTGGCTGTGGCTGCAGTCGCTGGGGCTGGCATGGTGGCTTTCTCTTTCCTCCAGAGCTTTGCTTAATGTGCTGATTACAACAGACCTTCCCAAGTGGGCACAAAATAACCAGCCAAGCACCGTAACTCGTGGCACTTCCCAGCTGCTTCTCCCCCCACCCTCCCATTCCAATGATCTCTTTGTCAAGCTTTCCTGCCCCCAGCCCACCCCCCCATGATGATGAGTTGTGATAGTGCTGTTATTGTTCGCTTTTCAGTGACAAAACGCTCCAGAGCACAGATATGGCGCCAGGAGAGGGGAGCAGCATCCTCACATGCCAACAGTGCATCTCTGTTGGCTCTGAGCTTTCCCAAACAAAAGATCTTTAAGATGTCTGTTACTGAGGAGGGAAATAGTGCTGGAGATGAGGCACAGGCTGAGTATGTTAGCAAGTATCTGAGTACCGAGTCAGACCTTGTGTTGGTGGCCTTACCTATTGCTTTCCCTGCCATGGACACATTCCCTGAAAGTCGTCTTCCAAAGAGCGAGGCCCTGTCAGCATGGGGAGGGATGGGAGGTATGTGGTGGGTTCCACGTTAGGCCTTGGGATGCCGTTTCAGTGTTGTGGAGTCTTCTCTGGCTCACACACTTCTGCCTGACTACCTGGGGAAGCAGGAGGGCCCTGGCTCAGCTTTAACACAGTTCATGGATCCATATTTAAACCCACAATATGTTCATGTTGTCACCGCAGTTCCAAAAGCTGTCATGTCAGCTGGACAAGGGTCAGGCTGCAGCCCTTTGGCACAGGCAATGTCCAGCTTTTCAAGGAATAATCACAGAATCACTGAATCATTTAGGTTGGAAAAGACCTCCAAGGTCATCGACTCCAACCTTTGACTAATCACAACCTTGTCAACTAGAGCAGAGCACTAAGTGTCACGTCCAGTTGTTTCTTGAACACCACCAGGGATGGTGACTGCACCACCTCCCTGGCCAGCCCCTTCCAATGCCTGACCACCCTTTCAGTGAAGATATTCTTCCTGATGTCCAACCTGAACCTCCCCTGGCATAGCTTGAGGCTATGCCCTCTTGTCCTGTTGCTAGTTGCCTGGGGAAAGAGGCTGACCCACATATAAATCTATATTCCTTATTCCTAAACTCATATTCCTTTCCCAAATGGGCTCCAAGGTTTCTGTTTACTCACTGCCTGACCCGCAGCTCTCTCCCTGGACTTTGCCCTTGCAAAGGGAATGTAAAGTTATCTTGGGCTGCCTGAAGACAATAAGCTCGGCCCTCTGGGTCTTCGGCTGTGGGCAGGGCTTGGAACGGAGATGCTATTTTGGGGAACTGCAGAGTGTGCAGTGTCTGAAATTAAGGATGTTGGTTTAGGGGACAGGTCCTGTGCATTGCTGTAGACACTTGGTGTTGCAGCTGTGACCAAAGCGTGCTGTAGTGTCACTGTATAGCCCTTCTGTCCTCGTCGCACGTGGGGGACAGTTGCTGGAGTCAGGCAGTGGCCCAGTGAGCGTTCCTGCGGCAGGCCTGTGGAGCTTGGTGGTGCCAGCTGGAGCTGGAAATGGTATTGTGTTTGGGGAAGCTGTGGTGGGAATGCTGTCCAGAATTAAATAGTGCTGTGGAGGTTGTGGAAATGGTCTTGCTTGGAATAGCAGCACCGCCGGGGAGGATAATCCTCAGCTTCTCACCGCAGTAGCCTGACACTCCCATGGAGACTAGCTGTGGAACAGCAGGAGTCTGGGTTGGATCCACAAAGGGTAAGGGGTGGATAAAAAAAACCCAGGTGCCTGAATGCCTGAGTGCCAGCTGCATCTGTGGAAGCGATGTGTGCGAAGAGAGGTGATACGGGGCACAAGTGGTGGGATTTGGGTGGAGTTTCCCTTAAATCATAGGAAAACTCCATAGGAACTTAACTCCAACATAAGTGGAGTTTTCTGAAGGAATCAGGGTAAAATGTGTTTTCTTTCAGCCCTGTACATCTTTAAACCATGATTTCTGCCCAGGCCTCCTGCACAGCCTGTGCTGCAGCACCCATGAAGATGTGGCTGCAGGTGTCTAGGAGTGGCAGGGCTGCAGTGAGATGAGTCTTGTGCTCCCTTTGCACCTCCTGCATCAGCGGGATCAGCACCATACAGGACCTCGTTGGGCATTGCTGCATTTTTAGAGCAAAAAACGTTGTGCCGTGTTCCCTCTTGAGCTGGGGAAGTCTTGGAGCAGGAGCCGTTATGATTTATTTGGAGTTTTCCAGGCCCTCGCCTCAAAAAAGCCAAAGGAAGCCAGATGTCTTGTTGCATGGGAATGTTGTGCTTCCATGGGAGTCCATTCCTGAGAAGCACAGGATGCAGTTCATTCCCGTAATTTCTGTGGTACTGCAAGCTGCTGCCCTTTAGAGGCCAGGCGGAGATTCCCACTGTCCCCACGTGCTTTCATGCCTTCCGGCTCTCTCCGGTGGTGGTCCCTGACCAGGCCTCAAGTGCTTCACCCAGAGATCTGGCCCATCCCTTGGAAGTGGGGGTCCTCTGGGCAACGTCACTCCAGCTGCTTGGTTGCATTTCTGGCATTGCCCAAAACAGGAGCTGGAAACACAACAAATGCTGGGAAGTATCTGTGCCTGGCTGGTGGGGAGCACAGCAGTGCTGTGTTGGTGCCTGGTTGTTGGAGCTGCCCCAGGAGTGTTCCCCTGTGGTGGTGGGATCAGAAGGACGCGCTGAACAGCTTCTCTGCTCCAGATTTATCCAGTGCTCCTGAGCACCTGGGCTCTGATGCTGTGCCAGGCCCTCGGCCCATCACTGTCAGACTCTGACTCATCGCCTCCCACCCTGTCTCCGCAGGTGCCGGTACCTGGCTGTCCAGCTGTCCCCAGCCATCCCCGTGTTTGCAGCAGTCCTCTTCCTGTTTGCCATGGCCACACTCCTGCGGACAAGCTTCAGTGACCCTGGGGTGATCCCGAGGGCCCTGCCTGATGAGGCAGCCTTCATCGAGATGGAGATTGGTGAGTGCAGAGCGGCTGAGCTGGTGAGGGCTGGAAAAACCTCTACATGCCTGTTATATTTATAGGCTACAATCCCTGCAGAGCCTTTCTTCCCAGATGGACCTCCAAAAATGAGGATTGTCCCAGTCTGCTGGCTCATTCTGCTTGGCTGAGTCTCAAAAAGGCATCATGACTTACCTGTGTCCCTCTCTGCGAACCCTTTCACCTGCTGCTTTCTGTCCTGTAGCTGTGTACATATAAACCCAGTTTATTTCTGAGAAGGGGTGCAGGAAGCTTGGTGGGGTCCCCTTGATCTCAGGGATAGACAAGATTTGGTGGATGTAGGTGACACACCCCCAGCCCCCTCTGAACATGCCCATGAAAGCTCTGGCATCCCTTTTCCTGCCTCCAAGCTGCCATGTTGGCTCTGACCCGCACAGGCAGAGCTGCAGCCGCTGGCTCCGGAATGATCCCGCTGTTAGGAAAGGCAGGGAAGAGAATTGTTGTTCTAGACCTGTTATACTGTAGCAGCATGTCTGATCTGTGCTGGGTTCTTTCTGGCAGAGGCCACCAACGGGACTGTGCCACAGGGTCAGCGCCCACCCCCACGCATCAAGAACTTCCAGATCAACAACCAGATCGTGAAGCTGAAGTACTGCTACACATGTAAGATCTTCCGTCCGCCACGAGCCTCACACTGCAGCATCTGTGACAACTGCGTGGGTGAGTGCGGGGCTCGGGCCTGCTCCTGCCCCCTGGCTCCTCAGGGAGAGTGGGAGACCTGTGCCTGGACCCGTGCTGGGCATCTCCGGAGTGGTGGGGTGTCCAGATGGGGACAGGATGCCTTGTCTTATGCTGGAGGATCTTGAGATTTGCTCAGAAGCTGGAGCAAGGTGGTTCCTCTTTGCCAAGACTCTGCCACTAACTAATCTAACCAAGTCCAGCTGTCTGTGTACACGTGCAGCCTGTGTTCGAGTTCTGCTGGACTCTGGCCTTGCTGGGCTGGAGAGTTCCAGTGGAGAGTTGTGTCGTGGGTGACAGCAGCTCCATCAGGATGTGGACTGTGCCGTCCTGTGGAGTGCCCTGGTTGTTGTCCCTCTTCTGTGTGTATAGTCGGCTCATGTTCAGCATCCCTGCTCCAGGGAGAAATCCTGTCCTTATGGATCCTTTTCTTCCTCTGCAGATTCCCAGCCTTTGTGTGTTTATGCAGTTCCTTGAACCATCTTCTGCTTATTCTAGTAGATATATAGAGGGTTGGATAATAATTTGGGGACACCCAGGCCTTCATCTAACCCATGTGCTGCAGCTGTTGTACCCCAGGAAGACACATGAGGGGCCAAGCTGAGATTCTCTCTTAATGTGCAAAATGACTCATCATAAAATGATTTATGACTTTCCTGACCTGGCCTCCCCTCCTGGAAGGGAGCTGGGGTATGGGGCCCTGAGGGAACAGAGGATTGGACTTGAGAGTCCTTGTCATCCTGGGAGATTTTTGACTTGGGGGCACAGGAGCAAGGATCTGGAGGTGGGCAGGGCCACACTGGAGTGGTGCTGATCTCCATCTTGGCTTCCCTAGAGCGCTTCGACCATCACTGTCCCTGGGTGGGCAACTGCGTGGGGAAGAGGAACTACCGCTACTTCTACCTCTTCATCCTCTCACTCTCCCTCCTCACCATCTACATCTTCACCTTCAACATCGTCTACGTAGCACTGAGTGAGTCTGGCTGAAGAGCTGGATGGCTGGAAGGGTGGGAAGGGGGGGAGATATGGATAGTGGTGTGAAACCAGAGTGATGGAGTGGGAAAGGGAACCAGACTTGGTGGGATGTTCCAGATTAAAAAAATATCTCTCTCTCTTTGTATTGCAGAATCTCTGAAGATTGGTTTTCTGAACACGTTGAAGGAAACCCCAGGGACATATCCTTCCATGGTGCCAAGGGCTTGGCTTCTGCTTGGGGGTCAGTGGAAGCTGCATTTGAAGGGGCTGGAGTCTTGTTGCCCAGGCCTCTCTAAGGAGTCTTTCTGGGCATTTTCTCCCTCGATGACAAGCTGAGGAGCAGTTTTGTGGCTTTTGGGAGGAAGGTAAAACAGAAAACCTTGGCTAGGAGAGGAAGAGAAGTTGGTGTGCCTGGGGGTAGTGACACAGGTGGGCTGGGTCCACTTCCAGGCTCTTCCCAGTCCTTAACTGTTCTCACTGTACTGGAGGTGCTCATCTGTTTCTTCACGCTGTGGTCAGTGGTGGGGTTAACTGGGTTCCACACCTTCCTGGTGGCACTGAATCAGACAACCAACGAAGATGTAAGTAGAGTCTTCCTCGAAGCTGTCACTGTTTCTTGGCACGTCACAGCTGTGCACACCCTGCGGGCCAAGGCAGGGCACTGGGAGCTGGGGCAGGGTTTCCCTGGAGCAGACTTGAGCTTGTGCCCTGCCTATTGCAGATTAAGGGGTCCTGGACTGGGAAGAACCGCGTGCAGAATCCCTACAGCCATGGTAACATAGTGAAGAACTGCTGTGAGGTGCTTTGCGGGCCTCTGCCCCCCAGGTAAGCTCTTGAGGGGCAGCCCTGTCCTTTGTCTTCCACCAGCACTTCTCCTGCTGGGAAAAGAGGGGGGATTTCAGGAGGTGTGGGTCTCTGACACATGCCTTGTTCTTACAGTGTCCTGGACAGAAGGGGCATCCTGCAGCAGGAGGAGAGCACAGCTCAGGAGGGGCCGTGCCCACGAGGACCTGGCACACAGGAGCCCCTCACTGTGCAGGGCCCTGGGCAGGCTGAGGAGAGCAGTGCACAGCAGGATGGCAGCCTTCCTCCCCACAGTGCCGTGAGTGTCAGCTCGGGAGCAGGGAGTGCTCTGGGACAGTGAGAGAAAGCTGGGAGTGTGACTTGGTTGGGGCAAAACAACACTGGGCTGGTGATGAAAAGCCTGTTTGCTCTGACCCTGGAAACCTGCATCTCTTGGTTTCCTTGGATTTCCTCAAAAGGGGTCACAGCTAGATGGGGTTTTGGAGATCAGTCCTGCCATGAGCTGGCACCCATGGAGCTAGGAGGGGCTGGGGATGAGTGGGAGGTTGTAGGCATCTTCTTCTGGCACTGTGTGTGAGCTGCAGGGCTGTCCCTGGGAAGGCCCCTTGTGGGTGTGGGATCTCCGTCCTTGGAGAAAACTGTTACAGCCCCAAGCAGCCTGCTCTGTGTTTGAAATTAGCCCTGCTTTAAGGGCGTGGTTGGACTAGAGACCTCAGAAGTGCCCTTCCTACTTAAATTACTCCATGAACGTGGTGGGAAATGGCTGGGCCTCCTCCTGCTTGGGCATGAACTGCTGCTTCTCTGGTGGAAACAGACCAGAGTGCTTCTGCTGGAGCAGTCCAGTGCTTCAGCTCTTCCAAAGCAGCTGTTGTGCCTGTTGGGTTTCTCCCTTTTCCCAAGCTCAGCCGAGACCACCGTTGGTGGAGCTGGAGGCAGGATCAGGGCAGTGGGGCCTGTGTACTCAGACAGGTGTTCTGTACTGGGGTGTGTTCCTGCAGGTCACTGTGTCCTCTCTCCCCAGGTCCCTGCGCCGTGCCTGAGTGACGCTGAGATGCTGGAGGAGAAGCAGCGAACACCTGGGGA